CATATAAAATCAGAATTTTGATGTTTGTTGAAGGTAAACTAAATTCACGAACAAATACTTACAATATCGGGATAGTATTATGAGGTTTTTTTCCTGGTTTTTTCCCTCATAATTTACTATGGAATCACTAACAGGAGAATTTTATTGTCATCATGTCATGTGTTTGTCTTTTTAAAGACGAATTACATGCTATGATTTTTTCTGACGGATATTCTCAAGTTAAAGTTGATTTCATGTAATCGAATGAACTATCTTATAAGTAAAGTCGTCCCAGGAGCGCAACTCAACAATATTGGCAATATCATTTTAAAGTCATCTACTTTAAAATGCATAATGTATGTCTGAATTGTCAATATAAATGAGTCAGATAAAATTAAATTATTAGAAGAATTTTTCACTATGTAACAAAAAACAAAATTTGTTTAATTTACTGTTTGTATTTTGAGAACGATTTCCGAAGTGGAAATTGAAACGTCAATAAACGTATTTTTATCTTTAATTGTGGCTTATTCCCAGTTTAACAGTAACTAATTTACAATGCCACAAGAAAATAGCTTCATCACAGTTATCAAGCTGTGCGTGCAACTGCTTCACGATAAAATATTTTAGCAGCATTGTTGATCGGATAGTGTCAAATTTTAAAAATGTAATAAGTAGTCTATACCGAAAACCTGATATATATTTTTTAAAAAGACAATTTTTTTTAACTTGGCTAAAGTGCTAATCTCGCCCAAGAACCTTCCTTCTTTATCCGGGTTTAGGCCGGCAACAAGAGCATTGAGGAAGTAAATCTACTCAATGATCTGGTAGGCGGAGTTAAAAAACCTTGACTTACTAAGATGTAAAACTACTAAGCGAAAATTAATATTTTCAACAAAAAATAAAATCATTACGTTTTCAGAAGTTTAACTGAAAAGTTAACAAAATATTTATCAACTAAAAAAGACATATATTACACCTCTTTACCAACACGCAATTTTATTAACATTATAAAGAATATTCTACGACACAACACTAAGTAAAATTAAAGACCTCTATAAAAAACGAAATACAAAAGTTTTGAAATTGCTAACTCCCTGATAAATGAACTTCCATATATTAGATCCAATTTAACTACGCGTTTAAAACACAACGAATGATAAGACAAAATATATATTAAAGAGATAAGATAAAGGTAAAACTAAGAAATTACAAAAAAAAAAATTACGTACTTAGAAGACTCCAAAACTTTGTGAATTGCTAAAATGTTTAGAAAACAATGCGTCAAGATAACTGATGTGCCAGAAAAAAGATTCAGTCTTATCTATACCATCTTTAGGTTTTTGCCGAAAAATTTAGGCGTCGGATATCGCTTTGGAACGAGCGCCGGCGACTGGGTTATCACTGAAGGTTTTTTTCTAGAATACCATTTACCAGCTGTGTGAGTATCTATGGGGGCAAATTTTGAGTTTGGTAAGGAAGACAAATTGAACCTTGTTTTATGTAATATTATTGATGACGAAATAATAAGAATATGGCGTCTATTCCAAATATTCCAGAAGAAAGATACAGTGTCATCTACAATTAGTCTTAGGTTTCTACCGAAACATTTAGGCGTCGAATATCACTGTGGAACGAGCGCCAGCGACTGGGTTATCACTGAAGGTTTTTTCTAGAACCAGAATTTACCAGCTGTGTGTGAGTATCTATGGGGGCAAATTTTGAATTAATAAGGAAGACAAATTGAACCTTGTTTTATTTAATATTATTGATGATGAAATAATAAGAAAATGACGTCTAAGATAAGGAACTACAAGTCGAGTTAACTGATATTTCAGAAGAAAGATTCAGTGTTAACTATACCACTCTTACTAAAAAAAACTAAGAAATTACAAAAAAAAAAGAAATTCACGTACTTAGAAGACTCAAGATATAGCTAATTTATTTATGAACTTCTTCCAAACTGTGTATTCACCAAATAACAACAACCTTCACATACCTGTCCATTCATTAAATAGAAACTTTAGTACAAATATTTGTCCTTCTAAGACTACTATGACTGATATTTTGAATGGCATAAATGAGCTGCCCAATAAGCTTAGTGCTGGTCCAGATGGTGTACCTAATTTTTATTAAAAAAGTGTGTCTGTACCCCTGTAATACCATTTGTTATATTGTTAAATAGATCTCTGGAAACCTCTATTTTTCTTCTTTATGGAAAGAATGTTATGTTGTTTCTACATTTAAAAATGGTTAGATAGACCATGTTGAAAATGATAGTAACATTTGTATACAATCTGCAATACCTAAGCTCTTCGACTGTCTTATAGCAAGGCAACTTTCTTGGTTATGTAAAGTCATAATATCTCAATCACAACATGGTCTTCATAGCAAAAATCCACTGCAACAAACTTGGTTTGCTATCAATCTGATATATTATTTTATATGGAAGACCGTAAACAGGTACATGCAATATACACAGATTTTTCCAAAAACGTTTGATCGTGTAGATCACCAAATACTTTTGGGAAAATTCATTAATGTAGGCTTTCATTTCAGATTTGTTGAATGGATTAAAAACTCTACATCTGGGAGAAGTCAAAGAGTCAAGATAGGTTGCAATCTGTCTGACATTATCTCAGTAACATTTGGAGTTCTTTAAGAAGGCCACACTTTTCCTTTTCTTTTTAATATTTTCGTTAACGACATCACTTTCTGCTTCCTAAATAGCAAATGTCTAATATTGGCAGATGACTTAAAATTTTGGAAAGTTATAGATAGCTTAAAAGATCAAGCCTTGCTATAAGATGAGTTAGACTGACTACAAAATTGGTGCAATCAGAACAAACTCCACTAAGTTTTTCTCGTAAAGTTAATACAAATGAAACAAGCTATATTATTAATAATCAGCCAATGAATTATGTTTCTTTCTTTTCGGTATTTTGGTGTTATTTTCGATGGGAAGCTTACTTTCTGTGACCACATAAACTCTATTTCAATGAAGGCATTTAAACTTTTTGGTTTCGTTACTAGAAATTGCAAGTATTTCTTGCAATTCCTGGTATATTCCTTATATTTCTTATAAGATCATACATGGATTTATTGATTGTCCAAACCTATTAAGCCAGAATAACTTTAATGTTCCTCATCAAACTCAACGTTACCACAATGTTTTGAATATTCCTTTCCACAGAACAATTTATGGTAAGTTCATTGTACCATGGGTTATAATAAAACTAATGGCGCTAATTTCACCTACATCGAAATATGTCCATTCCAAAGGTGGCTATGTGTTACTAGCTACATATGGAATTGCAATTCGCCACATTTGGAACAAAACTTAAAATAATTATGCGGTTTACTCTGTACAGTTGCGGTCACGGAATAGTTTACAGGTTCACGTATCTAGGAGCCCATTTTTTAAATTTTTACTTCGTTTAAACGCACCTTTTACGTCAAAGTGACGTTGCCAGTGGTGTACTAGCTAGAATAGGTAGATTAAAATTAAAATATCAAAATATTTTACAAAATGAAAAATATAGAAAACAGTTTTTTGAATAAAATGGATTATGATCTTAATAACGAAAATAAAGAAGTCTTTTTTTTTAATATGCATTTTATTTTAAATCTATTTTATATTAAATAACGATAAACAATGATAAATAATAATTAATATTTGGTGGAAGCCCCATTCTTGTCAATACAATTTTGCAGTCTTCTGTTCATAGATAGCACCAATCCCCTCATGTTATAGTTAACAAGCTCTTCCCATGCCTGCTCAATTGCTTCCCATAATTCAATTCTATTCCGTGGTCTAAGGTTTCTTTCATTTAGTTTCTTTGTTAACTCTGCCCACACATTTTCGACGGGGTTAAAGTCTGCACTACGGGAAGGCCACGGAAGAACATTAACATCAGTTTCTTCTAGCCATTCTCGAACAATTCTACTCGTATGCACCGGGCAATTGTCATGTTGGAAGATAAAGTCGTTGTTGGGGAATCTCTGGATCACCGATGGCAACATTGTGTGCTCAATAATATGTTTGTAATATAATCCTGTTAACTTCTCCTCTACATGATAACAAACGCCCGGGCCTTCGGCACTTATCCATCCCCATACGTTGACAGAGAATCCTCCACTATTTCTTAAATGATGCGTATACTGTTCATCATACCTATGATTTCTCGGCTATAAACTCTTATTCGACCATTATTATACGACTGAAATACTTTTTCATCGGAAAATACAACCCTAGACCAAAAATTCTCATCGCGGTTTATAAATTCATTACAAAATTCAACTCGTCTTCTCTTGTGATCCTCAGTCAAAAAAGGTTTCCGTGCAGCTACACAATTTAGCAGTCCACTTGCTTTAATTCTTCGACGTGCAGTGTGAATACTGCCTGGAAACGCTGCTCTTCTCTTGCCTTTTGAGCTGTGGCAAAAGGAGATTCTCTCAAATAATCTACTAACATCTCATCCTGTTGATCTGTGGAAATCTTCTGCCCTCCTGAACCGCCCAACCGTGCTATAGAGTGAAAATTATCCCATCTTTGTTTAATCTTCCATATGCACATATGACTCACGTTCAAATCAGCAGCAACTTGCCTTAGTGACCAACCTTCTTCGAGTTTGGCAATTGCTCTTGCTTTTTGCGCATAATTCAAATGTATTCTAACCATTTTGGAAGAGTTTAATATACTTTTATTTTATTGTTGAACACTCGCGAAAGCATTGACGTTTGAAATTTTTTGACTTTGACATTTATCAAATCCGTACGACACTGCAATTTTACAGTATTACAATATAAAAAGTAAGGTGTAAACTATTCCGTGACCGCAACTGTACATAGCTCAAAAATGGAAAAATTGTAGTTAGCTACATTTAAAACCAAGCCATTGATGTGTATATATATATATATATATATATATATATATATATATATATATATATATATATATGTATTAATAAGTACCATCATTTTAGGATGAACCATGTTTAGATCTGAATCTCCAAAATGGAATGGATTTCCAAAGTATCGACGATATAGCTGATAAGTATTTGCCATCTGAATATGGACTTGTCATTCCAAATCAGTCTTTACCTCCTCCTCCTTTAGGACTTCATATACCAAAGAAAAAGACAAAAAAATTCAAAGATGAAGAGTCCAGACGGAAATGGGAAGATATGATGACCATGAAGAGGCGAAAATTATTTACTAATATAGTCAAAAAAGAAATTGGAAAGCAGCACAGATCAAAAATTAACAAACACAAGGAAATGCTACTGCAGTGCAAACGAGTAGCATCACATTGTGTTAAATATGCACGTCAAAAAGCTGTAAGTTATTTAATCATAACATATTAAAACATAAAATCATAACATTAATCATAACATATTAATCATAAAAAATTAAAACATAATGTTATTTGACTTTTATTTTAGCTCCAAAGTGCTCGAATAGTCAAAGAACAGCCATGGAGGATGAAGAGGTTATCACGTGAGAATATTGCTTATTGGAAACGGTCCAGGCGTTTTGATAGAGAAGTCAAGAAACGGTTAGAAAAAGAAGCAGAAGAACAAAGAAAAATTGACCATGAGTTGGTTGAAGCCAAGCGACAACAGAGGAAATTAAACTTTCTTATTACTCAGACTGAGTTGTATGCTCATTTCATGTCCAAGAAGTTGGGACAGGCTTCTCCTGAAGAACAATTGATAATTTTAAGCCAACTAGATGAGGAAAGTTCAATAAAATTAAGTTGTGATACTTATGATAGGTATGAAATAAAATTTTAATTATATTTATTTTTTAAATTTTTATTGTATATTTTGATTTTAGTGAAAATATGAAGGAAATGGCTAAAAAAAATGCATTAGATGCATTTCAGAGTGAAAAAGCAAGGACTAGACATTTTGATCAACAAGCCAATTCGTGTCTTAGTGAATTTCCCAACGGAGAGGGTGAACAGCCCCAACCTAATATGTTTAGAGGCAAATTAAAAGGATATCAACTAAGAGGGATGAATTGGTTAGCAAATTTATATTCTCAAGGAATCAGTGGTATTCTAGCTGATGAAATGGGTCTAGGCAAAACTGTACAAAGTATCGCGTTTCTTTGTCATATAGCTGAAAAATATTGTAAGTTTTAGGTTTCGAAGTGATGTGCTGTAAAATTATGTGATTTGGTATTTTTAGCTGTCTGGGGTCCTTTTCTGATAATATCTCCCGCCTCAACTCTCCACAATTGGCAGCAAGAAGTGGCAAAGTTTGTGCCGGATTTTAAAGTGGTTCCCTATTGGGGAAATCCAAATGAAAGAAAAATTTTAAGGCAGTTTTGGGATTTAAAAGACATGTACACTAAAGACGCTAGTTTTCACATTGTCGTAACTTCGTACCAAATAGTTATAACAGATATAAAATATTTTAATAGAATAAAATGGCAATACATGATACTAGATGAAGCACAGGCTATCAAAAGTACTAGTTCAATGAGATGGAAGACTCTCTTAGGTTTTAGTTGCAGGAACAGGTTGTTGCTGAGTGGTACTCCTATACAAAACAGTATGGCTGAGCTATGGGCCTTATTGCATTTTATTATGCCGACACTCTTTGACTCACATGAGGAGTTCAACGAATGGTTCTCAAAAGACATTGAAAGCCATGCAGAAAACAAAACTGGTATCGATGAAAAACACTTATCCCGTTTACATATGATTTTAAAACCTTTTATGTTGAGGAGAATCAAGAAAGACGTTGAAAATGAACTGTCTGATAAAATAGAAGTGATGGTATACTGTCCACTCACTACGAGACAGAGTTTATTGTATTTGGCTCTAAAACAAAAAATTAAAATTGAAGATCTTTTGAATTACACCGTTGGCGGAGGAGATTCTCACACTGTGGATAAGAACTTTACTTCGAATTTGATGAATTTGGTGATGCAGTTTAGGAAGGTAAATAATAAACCAGTTTTTATTATAATACTTGCATTTAAACGGTACCCTCTGTCAAGATAATCAAAATGCCCTCACTCCAGAATTCATTTTTTTACGTTCTATGAGATTAAAAAATAAGACAGCGCAATTTTAACCCAGAGATAGCTGCAGGTCAAATTTTTTTCATTTTCTGTATTTTATCAAAAAATATATTACCGAGTTTTCCAGATTTTCCCGTCCACCTTCAAAAACCCGAAAAACTATTTTTGGGTAATTTTGAAGCAACTGAGTGTTTTAGGAGATTCAAAAATCGTACAAAACACCTTTAAATCCACAAAAATCCTCTATTTCAATATTTTTAATTATTCGGGGGGTATTGCGGGATTATTCTTATTTTTTTGAGATCGATACAACCTGAATCAATACGTCTCCAATTTATAAAAAAAATGTATCAAAAAGAAAGTTTTCGTTGGGGATTTTTATTAAATTTGCCCAACTTTTTTTACCTTTCTACATATAACATGGGACGGGATTTAACAATCCAGTAATCCAATTTGAATATGGGAAATACATCGCTTTGTGATATTTTATAAAAAAATTGAAAAGATGCCGCTTAATGATGAAAATACAAAAAAAGTTGTGGAAATCCAGTAGAAACTCCCGAATAACGTTTGAAAACCTGGTTATTGGCATACACAATGGTTGTATTTTCTTCATATATTTTTTAAATATGAATAGAAGGCGTATTGAATTAGCTTCTATCGATCTCAAATAATATTAACCTCGCTAAAACCCTTCTTTGTCAACCATTTTCCATCCACTCCTGAATGTAGGTCTCTCCCAATTGCTTCCTTGCTCCCTTGCTTCTTGTTGTCGTCCTTGGTCTTCATTCTAGAATTCTCCGTGTCCGCCTGTTGTCATTATATCGGGCTACGTGACCTGCCCAGCGCCATTTCATTTTTGTAATTTCTTCCACAATATCCCTAATCTTCGTTCTACGTCGTATCTCGGTGTTTCTAATCTTGCCTCTTAGTGATATTCCAAGCATGATTCGTTCCATTGCTCTTTGCGTTGTTTCTAATTTTTTGGCAGATTTTTTGGTAAGTGCTACTGTCTCCAAGCCGTAGGTACAAACAGGTAGTATGCATGTGTTTATACACCTTTTTCTTTAAGTTTATAGAATGGAGGTGTTTTTCAAGATATGTGCTAGTTTGCCGAAAGCGCCCCAAGCCAGTTGTGTTCTTCTTTTAATTTCAGCATCTTGATTTGGATTTCCTAGTTTGATAACATGACCTAGATATACATAATGTTCCACATTTTCTATGGTATGATTTTGTATTGTTATATTTGTCTGGTCTCGGCTCAGTATTTTTGTTTTGCTGTAATTCATTTTTAAGCCTACCGCTCCTGAAACTGCATTTAATTGTTGTAACATATCATTTAGTTCTTGGATATTATCGGCTATTAAAACTATGTCATCTGCGAATCTCAAATGGTTTAAGTATGATCCGTCGACGTTGATACCCTTATTATTCCATTCCAGTTTCTTAAAAATATCTTCTAGAGCAAGGGTAAATAGTTTGGGAGAGAGGGTGTCTCCTTGTCTTACTCCCCGTTGTAGTCTTATGGGATTAGTTTTTGTGCTTTCGTCCAGCTTTATATGCATGGTGGCATTTTCATATATGTTTTTAATTATGTTAATGTATCTTGAATCTATGCGTGCATTTTCTAGAGATTCAAGCACTGCTCATAATTCGATGGAATCGAATGCTTTATGGAAATCGACGAACGCCAATTTATACAGATGTGATAGCAAGGATATTGGTCGGTAATTCTCGATGTTTGCTCTGTTTCCTTTCTTGAATAGTAAAATGACCTCGGAGTTGTACCATTCTTGAGGAATCTTTCCTTCATCAATTACTTTATACTAAAACCCTTAATAAGCTTAAAAACATGGTTTTTGAGGGTTTAAAGAAGATACGCCCAATTTTTGAATGTCCTAAAGTACTCAATTACTTCAAATTATCTTTAACATATAGAAAAAACGTATATTTGATCTATTTTGAAGTATATACAATGGAGAAAATCCCCAAAAATCCTAAACACTAGTTTTTCCGCGTTTTAAAGATGGCACACCTTACCGAAAATTAGGAAAAAAATTAAAAGTATATTTTTTAAAAAATTTAAAAAAAATGTATATTTTAAATTTATTTCAACCTAACGAAAAAAATAAAAACGGGAAAATGAGGTTGGGTAGGGGAGGAGGTAAAGGGTTAAAATTGCATGGAGCTTTATTTTTTAATTATTTTAGAACGTAAAACATGAAAAAATTGAATTCATAAAACATGAAAAGGAGTTAGGGCATTTTGCCTATCTTAACGGGGTGCACCTTGTTTTTATAGTATTTTATAATTATTATGTTTCAGGTTTGCAACCATCCCGAACTTTTTGAGAGAAGAGACGCCAAGTCGCCCATTAGAATAAGTTCGTTGCAATATACAGTTCCTTATTTAATTTATGATTTTAACGTTCGAGACATTTTAATGGAGAAAATTAGGAAACACTTCATTTTCAAACCAGGAGACATAGCAAATGCTATTCAAGATGGTTTACATCCCACCATTTTTAATTTTTGTTTCTATTTGGGTTTATCAGCTGAAGATGTTTATAGGATATTTCAAGGAAATATTTTGCACAGGTTTGTGTTATTTAATATTAAATAGAAATATAATCCCCAAAAACTGCAAAAATCCTAATAGTCCAGTAAATGAACGTGAAATACGGCAATACCCTCTAATTTTTCGTGTCACCACCTAATTGCATGACAATTTGCATTTAGGTTCTAATTACCCTCCATTTTACTTTTGGATTATGCCGTTGGTTGATTTATATTTTTAAAAGGTGAAAACTACCCCTATTAGAAAAAAATCGTATAATTTTAAATTAAATCGAGTAATTGAGCTAAATTATATTTTAATGAAGAGAATGAATATCAACTAACATATTATATAAAAGCTCTATAGGCCTTGTAGGCCCCTGGCTTCTGAAAACTTGGTTATTTCCCTCCATTTTTTCAGTCCCTTGCTTTCTCTCTCCAATTTCTAATGCCATTTCTGACTAGTCTTGCTTTATTTTGTTCGTCTTCTCCAAATATTCTCTACCGTCTTTATTCCTTCGAAAATTTTTCTGAGCATCTTTCTTTCCCAGATCTCTACTTTCTTTTCTTCCTGTTGGTTCATAATCCACGTTTCACTGGCATACATTGCTGTGGGTCTGATTACTGTCCCGTAGACTCGCAGTTTAGCTGTTCCTGACCATTTTTTTGCTTTCAGTAATGAATTTACTGACCCTATCGCTCTGTTTCCCTTCATTAATCATTTGTCTATCTCATTTTCTTCTGTTCCCGTATTCGTTATGGTTACTCCTATTCTGACACTTTTTCAAAACTGTAGACAGTCTCTGTTCCTTTTATTTTGATAGATTTGTTATTATTTGTTAAGTCTCCTCTCATTTCCATATATTGCGTTTTTGTTTGGTTTATTATTAATCCCTATCTTTTCGCTTCTTCTTAAAATTTCTGGAAAACTTTTTCTAAATGTTTTCTTGTTCTCGCTAGTATCACCACACCATCCGCGTACGCTATGCACTGTTCTCTGCTATTGAAAATAGTCCTTTTTGTGCTTGTATTTAATCTTATGATTTGTTCTAATACTAGGTTGAATAAATTCGTTGATAGTGGATCTCCTTGTTTTAAACCACTATTCACTGTGAATTGTCTTGAAAAGCTTCCTGGTTACCCTATTCATCGTGTTCCTAAGCGTTATTCTCACTAGTCTTATAAGCCTTTCTGGTATTTCTAATGTTCTCATGGCCTCATATAGCATCGTTCGATTTAGGGAGTCATATGCTTGTTTAAAATCGATAAATAGCATATGTAATTCCAAGTTTTGTTCGTAGCTATTATTTTGTAAAAATTTTAACATACTTATTTGATCAATAGTTGTTCTTCCTGATCTAAAACCTCCCAGGTATTCACCAATCACTTTGTTATCATATTTTATTTTGCAAGTATTTTATAGACTACTTCTAATAGTGCTATACTTCTATAGATTTTGCTCTCCGTTTTGTCTCCTTTTTTATAGATAGGACAAATAAGAGCACTATTCCATTGTTTCGGCATTTCTTCCTTTTGCCAAATTATTAGTGTCAAGTGAAATATCCTTTACTTCAATCTCTCACCATCTTTCTTAAAAATCTCAGCTGGGATATCACTTTCTCCTGCACTTTTGTTATTTTTTAGACCTCTTATTATTTCTTTGAATTCATTCAGAGTTGGTTCCTCGCACCACGTCTCTTCATCTTCTTGCTTATTCTCATTTCCCCCAAGTTCCTCTTGTTGGCCTGTATTTAATAGATCTTCGAATATTGCGCCCATCTATTTAATTTTTCTGTTGTTTCACCTAGAAGTAAGCCTTCTTTGTTTCTGCAATACTTTGGATTATTCTTCGTAGTTTCTTTGGTTTTCGTTTTTTATTTGATCAATAGTTGTTCTTCCTGATCTAAAACCTCCCAGGTATTCACCAATCACTTTGTTATCATATTTTATTTTGCAAGTATTTTATAGACTACTTCTAATAGTGCTATACTTCTATAGATTTTGCTCTCCGTTTTGTCTCCTTTTTTATAGATAGGACAAATAAGAGCACTATTCCATTGTTTCGGCATTTCTTCCTTTTGCCAAATTATTAGTGTCAAGTGAAATATCCTTTACTTCAATCTTTCACCATCTTTCTTAAAAATCTCAGCTGGGATATCACTTTCTCCTGCACTTTTGTTATTTTTTAGACCTCTTATTATTTCTTTGAATTCATTCAGAGTTGGTTCCTCGCACCACGTCTCTTCATCTTCTTGCTTATTCTCATTTCCCCCAAGTTCCTCTTGTTGGCCTGTATTTAATAGATCTTCGAAATATTGCGCCCATCTATTTAATTTTTCTGTTGTTTCACCTAGAAGTAAGCCTTCTTTGTTTCTGCAATACTTTGGATTATTCTTCGTAGTTTCTTTGGTTTTCGTTTTCTGCA